CCTGAAACAGCAGCAAGCGGACTGAAGACTCAAGTTCAGACTGGAAAGTCCGAGAAAGAGCAGAAGGATGATTCTGGCCCGAGCAAGCCTCGGAGCAAGAAGGAATGGCAACCTATAGAGTTTGTACCTAGTGTGTCATTCAACACGCCTATACCTTCGAGAGGAGGCTCGCGGGGTGGTCGTGGTGGTCTTAGGGGTGGACGAGACGCTGCGGCAAGAGGCAATCACGCTGCTACCGCCTCACTTGGTAATTTACCAGGCTTTTCTACAGTCCGCCGACCCGCTAACTATTTTCCAGATCGAACTCAATACAATGGCACGGCCACGGGAGCGGCTACGAATACAGCATCGGCGTCTAAGCGTGGATCTGTTGATATGCCCACGGCCCGCGACAGCCGGAAGGCGCAGGCACAAGCAGCCTCGGGGAAGACCTCGGGAGAAGCACAATCCGTAAGTAAAAAACTTGTCTCAGCCGATTAGGGAAGCCGTTCAAGCATGTATTAATCTTGACTGCAGATTGGCTCAAAGGCGGATGCGTCAAAGCAAAACTCGCCTGATCCTGCAATTAATGGATCTGGGAGCCAACATGCCCCTGCTCGTGTTGCGAGCTCGAACCAACGAGCTGATGAGACACAGAAGTCGTCACAGCCCGTAAGAGATGGAGTTAAGGATTCCAACTTCCAGGGCCAGATTCCTGTGGGCCGTAATGAGCGCGTGAGAGGTGGCGGCCGCGGCCGCGGAGGTCATTCCGCCGTGAACGGAGCTGGCCATTCGCAATCTCAGTTTAACCAGGGCCCTAACGGATACAACTACTCGAGCAATGGAAATGTACGTCAACCTAGCCATCTATACACTAACGGCTATGTGCAAATGCCCTACGGAGGAGCATATCCTGCCCAGGCAACCGGTAGCCAACACCGCAGTCGGCCCAGCTCCGGGAGCAATCGCGCACAGCATGCTAGACACCCATCCTCGAGAGCCTCGTCTTACCCAGCAATCGGCATGCCGTACGAACCCCCGGCGTATCCTCACGGCAACGGTCCGTACAATGGATACGCAGACCCCAATCACCTATTAAGTGGAGTATTATCACAAGTCGAGTACTACTTCTCTATCGACAACCTCTGCAAGGATACGTACCTTCGAAAGTGCATGGATTCTCAAGGATTTGTACCCTTGGGCGTTATAGCTTCCTTCAAGCGAATGCAAGAAATAGCCGATTATCAGATCATTCGCATAGCCTGTGACACATCTCCCCATATCGAGTTTATCGTAACGGAAGACGGGCAAGACAAGGTACGACGCCGCGAGAACTGGGAGCAGTGGGTCTTGGAGATAGGAACGCGATTCCCGAACGCCCAGAATGACGGACCAACGAGTTACCGTCCTTTCAACAGCCAGATGTTGTATTGGCCCCAGATGATGCCATATGGGGGCGAGGCGCCTCCCATGTTCTCACCGACTAATGCGGATGCTCATTTCGCACCTTACCTCTATGGAAATGGCGTGGCCTCCCCAACGAGCAACGGGATCAATGGCCATGCTCGTCCCTCGGATTCCCAACTTTCTGCGACAGTCCCAGAGTTCTCCCCAATCGGTAATCCCACAACGGGCACAGCGAGCCAGCAAGACGAGGCCCTGCCGACCTCCTCTAGCAATGGCCTAGTGTCAGACAACGCTGACCAAAAGGCCGCAACTTTGCCTTTTGGTGAACAAGTCGCTTCTGTCTCCAATGGCTCTCACAGCCCTGGAAGAGAAGAACAGGCTAGCACAAGTGACCAAACGATCACAAATGGCACCAGTGCTAGTCACGAAACCGAGACATACTAAACCAGTCCGAAGGACTGGCTATGAAAATGATCCATGAAGCTTAGATACCTAGGCCATATTACGTTCTTAAGACAGGTGTCTACCTTACTCGATTCTAGCGTTATGATGAATCACCAAATGATGAAGTTTATGCGGCGCTTCGACATCTTACGGGTCTTGTACAAGATTGCCAGCCTATGGACTGGTAAATCATGTTTCTTGACCTGGACCATTTGAATTTTTTATTGTCCTTCTGGTTTCGGCTCCGGCTTATGGAGCCAAAACGGCGGCATTCCACGATTTCGGTGGAATTTCTTGGTGCGGTTAGCAGACGGATGCCCATTTACCAATGATGATCGATTACTTTCGATGAAACCTCCTGGATACGTCTGAATAAGATGCGCTGTGAGTCCTACCAATTCATGGACTTATAGCCAATGGACTTACCACGTTGGCGATTGCGAACGATTAGTATGCAACACATGATGGATGCGATGCCCGACTCCCGGGAAGCTCTTGCACCTCCCAAATGGAAGGATTACGAAGACATATATCTTTGTGGCCTACTGATGTAGGTTATCACACAAACGAGAAGAGATGGATTCCACCTCGTTGATAACAATTCGAGCCAACCATCTCGGTCACAGTAAACTTGACATCGCAATTACTTTTTTTTTCTCTTACGTTTGTTTACTACAAAACAACCTACCTGCCACGAATAATAGTGGCCTTTGCATCGGGGGATTATCACAAGCCTGTCCTCTTGATGGCACAGAATACGGATTCCACTAAGAAGCAAATCTAGGTGGTGATTGTGATCAATGCGACTCTTTTAGTCCTTCCTTCGCCTTCGGTCACTCGTCTCTGCGGATTCGTTGGCCCTTAGATACCTCTGCGCTCGCGGAGGTTAGCATCTCGCTGCTAGACAAAAGTATTGAGCACTGAATTTTTTTCTTTTTCTTCCTTCTTTTCTCGCAATTGCATTCGCGGCGTGGATTGTTCGCATAAGGGGAAGGCCTCACGGAAAGGGGAACTTTTGCAAATAGACTTCGACGTCATAAAAGGAGAAACAAAAGGGTCTTTATCTCTTGTTATGCGGTTTATATTATGTATGAGTAGGAAAGTACAAAACAAAAACAAAACGCAACGGAACTTCGAGATATCTGAGTGCTGTATTTAGGTGCTCCGAAACATCTTGCTCCCGCGTCAATTCCATCGTCTATCGCCATTTATATCGCCTCCTCATGCTATTTCGTCATCGCTAGGTACTTAAAGGATATCTAGAGAGCTATGACGGAGATAAACTTTACCCTGAAGGAACTATACTAATCCTCAGGAATCTCGACTCTGTGAGCACAGTATATATTCTATTTTCTTTTCTTCTTCGCGGATGGTTGGTCTGTGTCTGTTTCTATCTATATATGTGGATTGGCGGAGAACACCGCCTTGCTACCACTGCTTTGTTGTTTATTGCTCGAGATTAACTGTATATATATTGCACTTCGCCCGTACATACCAAACAAGATTATTATATATACCTACCTGTATACCTATTCTACGCTCCCCTTGCGCTAGGATACCAGGGGGCTCGGTGATGGCGAGAAGCTGCCTTGCTACTTTTACTATAGTCTAAAAGGCGTATATGACGAAATAGGTATGTTATACGTAATATAGATAGGGGCAAGTATCTAAAAGGGGGTAAAACCCGAAGTATCAAATGCTTAATGCAGTTGTGGAATATATTAAGACGTAGTTAATAGCCTATATACCAACATATAACCATGTGAGACTTCACTGATGTGTGGTCTTGATTGGAGATTCTGTATGTGAATAGTTTAATCGCGGTCCTGTCTTTGCTTCGTGGCATAGGGTCCGTGGACTTCTTCCCATAAGGTTTACTATCCCGTACCTATACCGTCGATGGTTTGAGGTATGTTACAGGGTTATCATCTGGGCGCCGTTGATATTGAACTACACCCTGTTGTAGCTGACCACCCAAGGCACATGCACCCAAAATTCCCCATCACCCCCAGACGGAGAACCTGTTCCAATGCCCCCTTGTTACCTAGCTTCCATCTGTCATCTTCTAGTGTAGACACCTAAGAAACCAACAGCTGCCTCGTTGTTTTAGTTGCTGCCTCAAGCATTACTCATCACAGACTCAAACCTAGCCAACCCGACGATATTTGGTATATATTTGGCCGATTCAGCGTAAGTGTATTCTGTAACTACTCAAGTCTCGGAAGAAGTTTACGTTTGCTGGATTTCGTCATCGTGAAGGCTTTAAACTAAATCGAATAAGATATAGTTAACTAATACGTCTAAACAAGCCGGACTATGAGTCACTTACATAGTTGGCGACAGCGGGTCAATGCGTATAGGCACCTGGAAGTACAAGTTCCTTGTGGGCTCTAGCGGTGGTTCCCAAAAATGTAGTATAGATATGTCATGACCGGGCTGAAAGGAAGAGCACAACTGCGACGTTTCCGGTGCCTTGATTTTCGTAGGCTACCCAGGTATATATCATAGCCCGGTGGGTTATCAAATGGTAGCCCCGTAGGAGTGCACCGCACCCCGTGGTTGGATGCCTGTGCTTCTAAGCCTTCTCGTCTTGAGTTACCTGGAGTAAGTTAAGCTTGGTGTATGTTCATATCATTATACACAGAGGAGCCCGCCTGAGAGGTAAGGGGGACACCTATCGTAATACACCAAAGGAAATATCCTCTTATATAGGTGGGATTGCTTCAGCCATTTCTTTCTTCATAATGGTGCTTGGGCTTGGTGACTTACAGAAGTATATCATCGTATTTATACCACGCCGTTAGCTCTCCTCATACGCTAGCCATATACACAAATGTCAAACTCCCATTACTCACTTTGAGTTCTTATAAAACTGTTAAAAAATAAGGCTTCCTTCAATGTTGTCTCCGGCTAGTAACCATCATATTAAAATATAATAACACAAATCCGGTTATATACTAATATATTGTTTCCATACCCTAATGGGCAACCCGTATTAATCGCCGATGCCACCCGGCCCGAAAGGATTACCAAATCCACCTTCTATCAAGTCTCCTAGTCACAAAAGAAAGAAGCTAGAAATCAATGATACGATGTGCATCTTACCAGAAATCTATGTTACGGACTGAATATCCTATACCGGCCCAACTAACAACAATCCTAGGACAGAAAAATATGTAGGAACTCGATAGCATCCGGCCGCCCCACGCAATCGGTCCTGTAAGTGTAAGTCATAAGCATCGGACTGCGGCGCTGCGACCGTCCGAAGAGAGGCTAATGCGTGGCTGGAGCCGGCAAAGTCAGGCCATATGTAGACGTCATGGGACGATCATGCCATGCAAGGTATATGCACATGTTGTATACAGCCAAGGAGCGTCGTAGCGGGGACTGCTACTACTTCGTGCATAGATTAAGTAGAAGGCGACAGCAACAACTGAAAATATATAAAAAAGAGGACCATCGTAACGACGCCTTACCAACGAGGTTGCAACCGTTACAATTACTTCCCTTACTTACATCGGTACTCTACTTATACCCGCCAATTGGATACTTACCCCAGGGAAAAAAGAGGAGAAATTATGACCAAGGTCATCCTCTCCATCAACGCGGGGTCGAGCTCCGTCAAGATCTCCGTGTACACGGCTAAGCACCGCGAGCCCCCGAAGCAGCTTGCCGAAGCCCAGATTGACGGGTTGACGGCGCCACCAGCGCAGCTCACGTACTCGCGAGGCGATGTAAAGGTTCTTGACCACAGAGATGTAAAAGAGAATGTCGGAAACCAAGATGACGCTTTCAGAATCCTGCTGGATACCTTCACCGGGGACCAGGAACTGCCCGAATTATCTGCCAAGGGGGACATCTCGGTTGCCTGCCACCGGGTAGTCCACGGAGGCGACTACAAAACTTCCAAGGTTATCACGCAAGAGACTTACCACCACTTAGAGCGGCTAACAGACCTGGCACCGCTTCACAATGCCAACTCGCTGCGCATCATCAAGTCGTGCATGGACGAACTGCCCAGTGCCCTCAATGTTGCCTGCTTCGACTCGCAGTTCCACTCGACGCTACCCGCGCACGTCTGCACCTATCCGATCGACCAGGAGATCGCCAAGAACAACCAGCTGCGCAAATACGGCTTCCACGGCATCAGCTACTCCTTCATCACTCACTCCGTCGCCAAGTACCTCGGCAAGGACCCGGCGGACCTCAACATAATCGCCCTGCACCTGGGTAGCGGCGCCAGCGCGTGCGCCATCAAGGGCGGCCGCAGCTGGGACACGAGCATGGGCTTAACGCCGTTGGCGGGGCTCCCGGGAGCGACGCGCAGCGGCAGCGTGGACCCGAGCCTGGTGTTTCACTACGCAAGCGACGTGGGTAAACTATCGCCGTCGTCGACCAAAGACCTGCACATCTCGGTGGCCGAGGAGATTCTCAACAAACAGAGCGGGTGGAAAGCCCTGACAGGCACCACCAACTTCGGCAAGATCGCCACCTCGGACCGGCCCGAGTGCCGACTGGCCTTCGACCTGTTCGCGGACCGCGTGAGCGCTTTCGTCGGCTCATACTACGTGTCCCTAGCCGGCAAAGTGGATGCTCTGGTCTTCGCGGGCGGTATCGGCGAGAAGAGCGATAAGCTGCGCGCGGCCGTCGTAGGGCAGGCCGCGTGCCTTGGTTTCGGGATCGACCCTGCACTCAACGCGGCTAACATCTCGAATATCGTGCAGGACGTAGGCGCCAAGAACGCTAGGCACCGCACGCTAGTATGCCGCACAGACGAGCAGTACGAGATGGCAAGGGAGTGCGCCCACAACGACGAGCTGTGGTGAGACACGTGATAGCTACCTGCTATCTATTTTCATATAGAGACATTACATGCATTGCATATTAGGGAGCCGTACGGGGAAGGGTTTTGGGAACAATCTGGGGTAATGTAATATGGGAAATATCATGTCAACTTGGAGGGAAGGGGTATATACTATCCAACTATAGAAATGATCGATGCATCTTCCTGCTGTTTTCTTTCACCTTGCCGTTGACCTGCGACGATCATAGCACGAAACAACACCCTGTTCTCCATCCGCCTCGCAATCCGAGCCCGAGCGCGTTTTAGGGTCCGCCCACGTAGTCAGCAACCGGGACGGGGGTGTGGGGCAAGGGTCAGAACACGAGCGAGTGAGACGAGGCGGGATGGTGAAGCTATTCCAGCGAGCGCGACGAATAATTTGCTCAAATCTCGGGATCGCCCGCAAGTCCACTTCCCAAGAAAGAAAGAAAAAATAAAAATAATTATTCCCGCCTAAATAAAGAATTAAAACCGATGATCGACAGGCACGGGGGATGGGGGACCCCCGCCTGTCAGCACCGACGATCGTTCGTTAGCAGATCGTTGGGAAAAGTGACTTGTGACGAAACGACGAGCAGTGGAGAGTTTTCGGGTCCCTACATACATACCTAGTCCACACTACATACAACCGGAACTAAAACTAAAATTACCGCCTGTATGGGGTGTCCTCTGGTGATTGGATCAGGAGACGTTAGAAGGATTTTTCTTTTAAAGTGAGGTTTCCAAGGCAAGGCCAGGCCAGGAATTGGACGGGGACTAATAAAAAACAATTGGCTAGATGGGGAAAAGAGGCAGGCAGGTACATACGTAGGGTCTAGGGTAAGGCCCGGGGGCATTGGGTGATGACGTACTGATGCAAGATGACGTCGATCGAGGGGAAAAAGGGGGGGAAGGGGTCCCCGGGAGCGTAATAATAGTGCGCTTCCCACTTCCCAAGAGCGGCCCCCCTTTGCGGACGACGCTACTCCGTAACCTACCCTTTCTTCGCTTGCTCGCCTACCGTTACATACTTCAACCACACGCGTGCCTTGGAGGTGGTTACTAAATTAGCTAGGATGCTTGACGCTACTGTATGTAATAGTCTCGTTCGAGAACACCTCTCTACGTATAATATGTAGGTATATCTATCTATCTATCTATCTATCCATCTATATATTACACCACTTCCACGGGACGGCTAAACGGTCACTTGGGCTGGCTCAACGGCCGCCCCGTCGAAATGGTACCGAAATATCGTTGCAACAAACACCCTACCCTAACCCGCAGATCGGCCGGTACCTAGGCCGGCGCACCCCACGCACCCTTAATATGAACCCTCTCCGTCGACATGCGTCTTGTACCTGCCCGGCAGGGAAAAGGGGAAAGAAGTTGGATGGATGATCATCAGGGTCCAATGCCAAGATCAGGGACTTGCAATTAGTTGAATTTTGGCTTGTTTTGGCACGGTAGAACCCTGGAGATCATCCCGACCCTGATGTGTTGTCAGCGGAAAATAATCACGTTAGGAACCTACTACATAGTCGTATCCCATAATGAATAGAGTCCGGTCCGTTTGCCGGATCGGCGGCAGGGACACTTGGTTATTTATTACAAAGTAATTCATCACCATAGCACATCTCTCAAGACTGAACATTTTCGAGTAGGCAATTTGAAGCTACTAGGTAAAAAAGGATTTTTTAAGTTTTATCATTAAATATTGCGTTTCATTTTCGTATGCCATCCGCCCCTTCTCTGTCCTGGGCGGACGTTGGTATCTAATGCCTAACTCCAACGTCATTTATATATAGTAGACAAAATGCCGCCCGACGAAGTATGTGGACCCTTTACGGCGGGTCTCCGGCGCATCTCCGTGTGCGCCTGCTAATCAGCTCCCATGTGTAATATGCAAGAGCACACTTATTCGCCCTCGCTGATGTTTATACAACTGCTCCATCATCCTTTTCCAATCAAGTAAAAAAACCGGGGGCGACAAGCCAATTGGCCCGGGTTATCGTGTTGTGAGCAGAGAGAAGCGTGAGAAGCACTCCATGCTGCTCGAATGCTTTTCCCAGCCGTCTGTCAAAAATGCAAAGTAAAAATGGTGCGCCCATCGTATGCGTGCCACCGTGGTATCAATAGTGCCGTCGTGAACTGTTCCCAAATGTACCCAAACGCCGTGTTATAACGTATATCCGCCCATACCGGTCCCTGTCTTACACAGATGGGAACAAAAACAAGTCCATTACCCCTTCATTACTAGATGTTGGTCTTAAGTCGGCTTATAAAAATAAGAAAGCTTGTGTTGGGCATGTCTTAAGCACCCTCTTGGCAAGCGATTGCTGCTAGTGCGTCTAGTCCGCTGCTGGTTCTGGCTGCACCGGGCCGGCCTATAAGTGGGAGGTTAAGACCACGCATATCCCAAGCCCCACCGGGGGAAGGAAGTGAAGCATCGGGACCGTATTGATCCGAATCCCACATTTGAATTTCGTGAGACGGAGCGCTGCTGTGAGAGCATGACGACTTAGAAGATACCGAGCCACGCTTGGATGGAGAAGATAGGGATGAGCTCTTAGACTTGGAAGAGCCAGAGGACCTCGACTTGTCCTTAAAGTGAGTTTCAAGGTGCTGCTTCATGTTGTCTGCGCGGGTGAACTTCTTGTGGCAGCCAGGGTACGTGCACTGAACAGCCTTCTCGGCAGTGTGGATCTTAGAGTGGCGCGAGGCGTGTCCCGAAGTAGTGAAAGTCTTCTCACAACCGTGACTATCACGATACCGACAGGGGTAACGCTTGCCCGTCTTCTCGGGTGCAGCTGAGCTAGCAGAGCTGTCGTCTTCATATGAATTGGAACGACTGGTTGCAACATAGACAGGGCGTTTCATGCCAACTTGCTGGTCAGGAAGGTAGTCATCGTAGAGCTGGCGTGACGAATAGTCGTATAGACTAGGTGTTAGTGGAGAGTAGGCATCGTAACTGGCGTTGGAATCGTATGAATCCGAACGAAGGAGTTCTGGAGTGTGGGGCGGCGGCGATTGGTCGCCGGTGGATTGATAGTGGATAGCCGTGTGGTATGACTGGTGGCTGGCGTATGGGTCATCGTTTAAGAGAGAGACCTGACGTCCGGTGGCGTCTCGTGCGTGCATTGTGTCTGTAGATGTGGGGATAGGGCGCGGAAAGCGGGATAAAGATTCAATTGCAATTGACTGCTTAAACCGTGCTTGTCGTTCGGTCTTTGAAAAATGTATGTGAAGCTCAAACCCCTGTAGTAAGGTAAGGCACAGCCGAGTAAAATTGTAATGTGAGTAGACAAAAGTCCAAAAGCAATGAATTATGCTTAATCAAGCACACTCCGAACACATAGAAGGTTTCTTGTGTGGGCGGCAGCTAAAACTGGCACGAGTCGAAAAGACGACGAGACGATTTGAGGTGGGGATGGTTTATGGTCTTTGAAAAGACGTACGGTTCGACAGGTTGAGGTTGTGTGTGTGTGTGCGTGTGTGTACGGTTAAGCTCAAGCTAGGTTGGACTGGTTTATTCTCATCCAAAGTATAAGGTGAAGACAATTGTGATAAATAGCTACTAGGCGGAAGTATGTGGTTGACTAGTGCTGTAGTGTAGCTATTTTGAGGGGGGGTGGTTTCGAGAATAAAGGTTGAAAGGTGAGGCAGGACCAGAGGAGCTTTTTTTCGTGCGAGATACGACGGGAAGTGAGTTGGTTAAAAAGAAACATGGGAAAGGCATGAATCCCATCGAGTTCCCAGCTTCCTCCACATTTCCAACCAAAAAGGACGAGACTAAAAGGTACAAGGAGTACTTCGCTACATTGCACAAAGATTACAGGGATCAGGGGTTCCGCTACATGCTAGCAAGTGGTTCCAAAAAAGCAGAAGGAAGCGGGGGGGCGGTTGCAGACACATGGGACTGAGGCATTGTACCTGACCGAGTCTTGCGAGTATCACAAATGTACCCTTTGCGCATTGGGCGTGCTATGTATGTAGGTACCTACCTACCTATGTATGTATGTATGTATGAAGTAGTACCGAAGAACACAACCAAAAAAAAAAGATCGTCGTCACCGCTTATTTCCTTACTTCCTTACTTACATGTAGCTGTTTAGTTACATCCATTTCTTTTCCAGTATTGACCAGTACCGAGGTTACATCGTAAGGCTCTGCTCGTTCAGATATGTTCAGATGTCCTGCCAAGATAGTCCTGTAACCTACAGATATCCTGCATGATAACCATTTACATATCGCCATGGTAAGCCGTGATTCATTATTCTAGAAATATGTGCGCATGCAGGTCATCCTTATCCAAGACCGTTCCGAAGAACCATTGCTCGTATTACCTATCACTAACTATGTGCATTAGGTATGTATCTAGGCATGTGTATGACTTTTACGCAGTTAGACTTATGCGTAGAATAGAACTTTATCAAGACGCACCGCAACCTTGACCAAGTTGACTTGAGGCATTTGAGGAGAGACTTTTTCCCTTGCTGCCGAGGCCAACTTAATTTTCTCAGTCAAGGACGCAAGCGAGCAGTAATATTTCTGCAAACGCTTATCTGGCAGTCTGGGCATTTTACATATCGTCGTTATGTCGTTGCGTCGTTACTATGCAGCAAGATTTCTCGTTGATCCGTTCTAGGAAGTGAAGCTTCGACAAAGCCGATCCCGTCCCGTGGAGTACGATACGTACCTCTTCCATGCAAGGGTAGGTGAAGAAGGTATTTGACGAATTAGACGCCACGGACGAGACGGGTACGCTGCGGTGGCTCACCTTGCGTCGCGCTGCCAGGCTGCGTACAGATGATCAGCAGGCACGTTTGGATGTTGCATTGCTCGGATCTTTGCTAGCATATTTCCCTTCACCTAGTGTCTATTTCAGGATGCCAGCACCACCAGACCGGTCACCCGGGTCCCTGATTGACATTCCAATCCGAGGAGTAACTCGTGCTCCCAGTCTCCATATAGCACCCACTCGCAAGGAGAAACAATGTCCCATAAGGCGGGCCTACGCTATCGTCAGGACCGTCTAGTTTTTGATGTTGACGGTGACGTAGGAGGCTATCGAAGGTACCTGAGCAGGCTGAGCTGACCTAGCTCTTATGGTCTTCCACGTCCGCCTCATATATTACTATTTACTAACTATAGTGTAGAACGACATTTGGGTACGTGCTTAACGGGTCTTCTATTAAGTAGGGACGAGTAAGAGATGTTAAGAGCTGGTAGTGTTCATCTGTTACTATACGCTGTATACGTACAAACGCGGTATAGAGTAAGGTAAGCTTATGACTCATGAGAGACTATTACTATGTTTGTGGGTACATTGAAAAATCCGTGCCTTTATTCTCACCTTACTACATATGTAAAGAATGAGGCTCGTAACTTAGTAATCCTTTGTCTT